CAGCGAGCCTTCTCACCCCAAGGCCCAGGGGCAGGGCCTGGGCTGGTGCAAGGACCCCCCCCCCCCGGGGCAGACAGAGGAGTGGTGTGGGCGCCGGCCCTGGCCAGGGGCTGGCACAGCTCAAGCCCCTAATAGCTGTGGCTGGAGAGCAGCACAGGTCTGGATTGAGATGGCAAAGCCTCTGCAGGCAGGAGCTTCCCGCCACCATCACGCGCCTGTGGCAGAGGCCCGGCCGGGGTGGGGGGGTGGGGGGGGGAGAGGGAGAGTTATCCTTGGGACTCAAAGCCTGCAGCCGCCAGCTGATATGAACGGTCAGCAACCTGCTCTCCATTAGCACAGCGTGCGCGACAGATTCCCACCCACATCCAATTCCTGCGCTCGGAGGCCAAGCTAACTCAGCCCTGCAGACCTGAGTCCCCAGCTGTACTCCAAACACACCATGCAGAGGTCCCCGAGCTCACGCTTCCAGAGCACAGCCCCTCTGCAGGCTGACACTGTGTGGGAGAGGCTGAGCCATCCCCCGCCGGAGACCAGCAGGCTGGACCACAGGCCTCACGGCTCAACTGCCTGCACTCACCCACGCCTCTCTGCCCAACAAGGAGAAGGACCAGCCGCCACTGAGCACCTCAGAGGAGACAGCGTGGGCAGCATTCACCACCCGTCTTCACAGAGGCGGGGGCTGGGTGTGTGGAGACTGAGGGCCTGCGCCAGGGCCGCGATGCAGCCTCCAAGAGCTAGAGTCTCCTACCATGCTGCAGTCCCACCGCCCGGGAGGCTGAAATGGGAGAATAACTAAGCCCAGCCACCCAGGGTCAAGCAAGGCAGTGTAGCAAGAACTGCCTGTCTCTGTAAAGAAAGAGGGATGGGGGCCTCTAACGACCGCTCCTTGCACACGCTAAGTCGAACAGCTATTTTCACACCCGGCCACTTCCACAGAGCTAGGGCGATCAGATAACGAACTCACAGACCGAAAGAGACTTCCTCAGGGTTTCTGAGTGGTACAGCTTGAACCAGAACCCGCCTTCTGATTCCCAGCCAAAACTCTTTCTCCATATCAGAATCTGTGGCATGTGTGAGGATGCCTAACACACATTGATCTTTCCACAAGTGAGAAGTCTCTGTTGAAGAAACCAGTTCTACCCACTGAGAGTTCTCTGCATTCTTGCTTCTGCCTAATCAAAGCTTTTGACACCCAGAACTCTCTTTTCAACAATATGTGCTTTGCATTTCTCAAACCTATAGCATCAAGGGGTGAAGAAATAATGTAAACATTGACCCAAGAATAAATGAAGTTCAAATGTTTAAAGCATGTGGGAAATGGAGCTCAAAGTCTTTTTAAAAAATACATGATGAGGGGGCTGGGAAGGTGGCTCAGTGGTAGAGCGCTTGCCTTGCATGCCTGAGGCCCTGGGTTCTATTCCTCAGCACCACATAAGCAAAAAGAAAAAAGCCAGAAGTGGCGCTGTGGCTCAAGTGGTAGAGCGCTAGCCTTGAGCTAAAGAGCTGAGGGACAGCGCCCAGGCCCAGAGTTCAGGCCCCACAACCGGACCCAAAAAAAACATGATGAGGGGCTAGGAAGGTGGCTCAGTGGTAGAGTACTTGCCTCGTATGCATGAGGCCCTGGGTTCAATTCCCCAGCACCACATAAGCAGAAAAGGGCAGAAGTGGTGCTGTGGCTCAAGTGGTAGAGCGCTAGCCTTGAGCTGAAGAGCTGAGGAAGAGTGCCCAGGCCCAGAGTTCAGGCCTCATGACCAACAACAAAATACACGATGAAAAAGAAATAACCAGCCCTTTTGGCATGGCAATGTCGCTCAGCTGGCAGGATGCTAGCCAAGGAGTGAAAGCATCAGGTATCCAGTTTGAGTCCAGGTCTCAGACCTAAAAGGAGAAAAGAAAGAGATGTGCTGGTCATAGTGCATCAGGGTCATCTCACCAAGAGCAGGAGAGACCTGCGGTATGAAACAGATAAGTCCTACGGTTTCGATTTCTTAGAAAAGAATTGTCAAGGGCTGGGAAGGTGGCTCAGCGGGAGAGTGCTTGCCTAGCATGTATGAAGCCCTGGGTTGGGTTCGATTCCTCAGTACTGCCAGAAGCAGAACTGTGGTTCAAGTGGTAGAGCACTAGCCTTGAGTAAAAGAAGCTCAGGGACAGTGCCCAGGCTCTGAGTTCAAGCCCCAAGACTGGCAAGAAAAAAAAAAAAGAATTGTCAAGTTAGGTCTGCAAACAGCACAAGGGGTGAATAAGACTATACAGCAACAATATAATGTAAAAACTAAAATACAGCATAGAACAGGAGGTTGAGATCTGAGGATCGTGATTCAAAGTCAGCTTGTGCAGGAAAGTCTAAGACTCTTGCCTCCAATTAACCACCAAAAAGCCAGAAGTGAGCTCTGGCCCAAGTGGTAGAGCACTAGCCTTGAGCACAAAAAGCTCAGACAGCACCCAGGCCCTTCGTTCAAGCCCCAGGACCAGCACATACACAAACACACAACCTAAAACACATACCTAAAGTACAAGTGTGCTCATTTTGATATGACTGCCTGGCTAAGAATAGCTACTGTTATTGCTAATCCTACCTGTGTCACTACCACAGCTGTTGCTATGCGTTCTCCATTTCTGGAGAACCTAATACCTGCCAGGAGCTACTTAATGCTTCACACCTGTGATTTGTTCAATTACCAGATCAACTCCACTTGATAAAACAAGGTCAGCTGTGAGTGATGGAGCTGCAGTGGCAAATAGATCTGACTCATGATCTGCACTCTTAAAAAGAAGGGGTGGCACATGCCTATAAGGCACTCACCAGAGGCAGAAGGGTCTCCAGTTGGAGGCCAACTTGGACTCATAGCCAGAACCTGTCAAAACAGAAACCAGCTGGGCACTGGTGGCTCACACCTGTCATCCTAGCTATTCAGAGGCTGAGATCTGAGGATCACAGTTCAAAGCCAGCCCAGGCAGAAAAATGTGTGACGCTCTTATCTCCAATTAACCACCAAAAAGCTACAGGTGGAGCTGTGGCTCAGGTGATAAAGTGTTAGCCTTGAGCAAAAACAAACACTCAGGGATAGGCACCCAGGCCCTTAGTTCAAGCCCAAGGATGAGAGAGAGGGAGAGAGGGGGAGATGGAGAAAGAAGGGGAGAGGGAGAAAGGAGGGAAAGAGAGAGGGGAAGAAGGGACGAGAGAGAAAGGGAGGAGGGAGAGAGGGAGAAAGAGGGGAGAGAGGAAGGGGAGAGAGAAAAAGGAGGGAATAAAGAAGAAACGGTTCAACTATAAACACAGTGCACTGTGATTCAGTTGGTGGATGCGGTGGGGATTGAACTTGGGCCCTTGTGCTTGGAGTACAGGAGCTGGGGTGACCCAGACCCACGACGTGCAAGCCCGGCGCGGCCTGCAGCCAGGCCGGCCCATTGCAGCCCTCCCTCCCACTCTGGGCTGGCTGTCTGTCGGTCGGGCCAGCCTCCGTCCGAGGCCCGGCAGGGCTGTCTGTCGGTCCGGCCTCCGTCCGAGGCCCGGGCGGGCGGGCTGTCTGTCGGTCCGGCCAGCCTCCGTCCCAGGCCCGGCGGGCTGTCTGTCTGTCTGTCGGGCCAGCCTCCGTCCGAGGCCCGAGCTGTCTGTCTGTCTGTCGGTCCGGCCTCCGTCCGAGGCCCAGGCGGGCGGGCTGTCTGTCGGGCCAGCCTCCGTCCGAGGCCCGGGCTGTCTGTCTGTCTGTCGGTCCGGCCTCCGTCCGAGGCCCGGGCTGTCTGTCTGTCTGTCGGTCCGGCCTCCGTCCGAGGCCCGGGCGGGCGGGCTGTCTGTCGGTCCGGCCAGCCTCCGTCCGAGGCCCGGGCGGGTTGTCTGCCTGCACGGGCCGGGCCACCACGGGCCCGGGCCCGGGGCTCCGGAGGGCGGCGCGGGCCAGCGAGCCGCGCATGCGCATGCGTCGGGCTCCGGGAGCTGCTCGGCCCCGGCGGCCGGAGGGCTGCAGGGCGGGGCCTCGTGGGACCAGGGGGTGGGGCCTAGCTGGGGCTCCGCCCCTCGGCGCGGCTGCGGCTGCGCACTGGGAGCGGGCTCTTCGCGTCCAGCCCCGCCGGCCTCCAGCGTGCGCCGCGGCCCGGGAGCGGACGGCGGAGCGGGGCGGGGCGGAGCGGGGCGGGGCGGAGCGGGGCGGGGCGGAGCGGAGGGGGGCGGGAGCGGACGGCGGGGCGGGGCGGGGCGGGAGCGGACGGCGGAGCGGGGCGGGGCGGACGGCGGGGCGGGGCGGGGCGGGGCGGGGCGGGGCGGGGCGGAGCGGGGCGGAGCGGGGCGGGGCGGGGCGGGAGCGGACGGCGGGGCGGGGCGGGGCGGAGCGGGGCGGAGCGGGGCGGGGCGGGAGCGGGGCGGGGCGGGGCGGGAGCGGACGGCGGGGCGGGGCGGGGCGGGGCGGGAGCGGACGGCGGGGCGGGAGCGGGGCGGGAGCGGGGCGTGGCGGGAGCGGGGCGGGGCGGGAGCGGGACGGGGCGGGGCGGGGCGGGAGCGGACGGCGGGGCGGGGCGGGAGCGGGGCGGGGCGGGAGCGGGGCGGGAGCGGACGGCGGGGCGGGGCTGGGCGGGGCGGAGTGGGGCGGGGCGGGAGCGGGGCGGGAGCGGAGGGCGGGGCGGGGCGGGGCGGGGCGGAGCGGGGCTGGGCGGGGCGGAGCGGGGCTGGGCGGGGCGGGGCGGGGCGGGGCGGAGCGGGGCGGGGCGGGGCGGGAGCGGACGGCGGGGCGGGGCGGGGCGGGGCGGGGCGGGGCGGGGCGGGGCGGGGCGGGAGCGGACGGCGGGGCGGAGCGGGAGCGGACGGCGGGACGGGGCGGGGCGGGGCGGGAGCGGGGCGGAGCGGGAGCGGACGGCGGGGCGGGGCGGGGCGGGGCGGAGCGGAGCGGGGCGGGGCGGGGCGGGGCGGGGCGGGCTTTGTGCGGCCGCGCGTCCGGCCCGAGCTGGTTGGAGCCGCCCGATCGCCAGCCGCGGGCGGGACGGCGCCGTCCCCGCGCCCACGGCGAGGCATGGCCGCCATCCCCTCCGGCGGCTCGCTCGTGGCCACGCACGGCTACTACCGGCGTAAGTAGCCCCGGCGGCCGCGCTGGCCGCTCCTCCCCCGCCGTGCCCCCGCCGTGCCCCCCGTGACCCCTCCGTGCCCCCGCCGTGCCCCCGCCCGGCCCTCCATGACCCCTCCGAGCCCCTCCATGACCCGCCCGTGCCCCTCCATGACCCCTCCGTGCCCCTCCATGACCCGCCCGTGCCCCTCCATGACCCCTCCGTGCCCCTCCATGACCCGCCCGTGCCCCTCCATGACCCGCCCGTGCCCCTCCATGACCCGTCCGTGCCCCTCCATGACCCCTCCGTGCCCCTCCATGACCCCTCCGTGCCCCTCCATGACCCGTCCGTGCCCCTCCATGACCCGCCCGTGCCCCTCCATGACCCGCCCGTGCCCCTCCATGACCCGCCCGTGCCCCTCCATGACCCCTCCGTGCCCCTCCATGACCCGCCCGTGCCCCTCCGTGCCCCTCCATGACCCGTCCTTGCCCCTCCATGACCCCTCCGTGCCCCCGCCCGGCCCTCCATGACCCCTCCGAGCCCCCCCCCCGGGTCTCCCCAAGGCCGACCCCGGAGCAGCGAGCCGTCCTTCCGGCGGCGGCGGCTTCTCCACATCCCGGCTCCGCTCCCCGCAGGCCGCCCCCAGCCCCGGCCCCTAGAGCCAGGAGGAGGCAGCCGCTCAGCCCGCCCGGCCGGGCCCACGCTGGGCGCCCACCCTGCGCCCGAGCAGCTCCTGGGCCAGAGCCCGGCCTGCCGCGCCGCGGACCCGGCCGGCCGCCAGCGGACACCGGCGGAGGCCCAGAGCCCCCCGCCCCCGGCACCGAGCAGAGAATGACCCCACGCAGCTGTCCATCCCTGCCGTCCAGTCCACCGAAACGCGATCCGGTCCCCAGCCCCAGGGCCTCCTCCCAGCGAGGCCCCCTGCGCCCCAAGACGCTGGTGCATGGATGGGAGCCTTCCCCTAGAAGAACCTTTCCCGTGGAAGACACCACCAGGGAGGCTGGCAGAAGAGACAGGCCAGCTGCAGAGCTGCTGCTCCTCCGCAGGGACAGGCCGGCAGGCTGTGGGTTGGGAGGATGGGTCCTGCCATGAGTAGCCTGGCTCTCAGGTCAGAGAACACAGGAGCTAGGCAGGAGTAACGGCATAGAGAGGGAGCTGCGGCTTGGGGTTTCCTGCCCCCTCCCACCCTCTGGGGACACACACACACCCCTACCCTACCCTCTGTCTATGGCGAGACACACACATGCACACCCGTGCCCTCTGTCTGTGGGGAGACACGCTCACCCCTGCCCTCTGTCTTGGGGAGCGGTTGGGCTTGTGCTCCTGAGAGCCGAACCTCCTTGAGGCCCAGGGTAGCAAGGGCAGGTGCTTCCTGGCCGGCAGGGAGGGAGGGTGTGGAGGGGGGTGTGGGTCTGCCCAGTGGCAGCTGCCAGTCCTACAAGAGGCCAGGGCCAGCCATCAGGGCTGGTGAGCAGGCAGCACACGGACCTCCTCCCCTCTTGTGGGCAGATGGGTCTCCTCACCAGGCTGCCCAGCTGCAGTCTGCAGTTTCAAGGAAGGAACTCTGAATGCTTACTGATTACAAGCCAGAAGGTTGGGGAAAGTTGGGTATTAATAGTTTTGAGAGTGGTAGTCAGATATTGGAGGAAATAGTTCAGGACCCAGTGGGTCCCAAGACCTCAGACGCAATGGGCAGGTCTGCAGTGGGGTACTCAGACAGCAATGGGCAGGTCTGCAGTGGTGCACTCACAAGCAATGGGCAGGTCTGCAGTGGTGCACCCAGAAGCAATGGGCAGGTCTGCAGTGGTGTACTCACAAGCAATGGGCAGGTCTGCAGTGGTGTACTCACAAGCAATGGGCAGGTCTGCAGTGGTGCACCCAGAAGCAATGGGCAGGTCTGCAGTGGTGCACCCAGAAGCAATGGGCAGGTCTGCAGTGGTGCACTCACAAGCAATGGGCAGGTCTGCAGTGGTGCACTCACAAGCAATGGGCAGGTCTGCAGTGGTGCACTCACAAGCAATGGGCAGGTCTGCAGTGGTGCACCCAGAAGCAATGGGCAGGTCTGCAGTGGTGTACTCACAAGCAATGGGCAGGTCTGCAGTGGTGCACTCACAAGCAATGGGCAGGTCTGCAGTGGTGCACTCACAAGCAATGGGCAGGTCTGCAGTGGTGCACTCACAAGCAATGGGCAGGTCTGCAGTGGTGCACTCACAAGCAATGGGCAGGTCTGCAGTGGGGTACTCAGACAGCAATGGGCAGGTCTGCAGTGGTGCACTCACAAGCAATGGGCAGGTCTGCAGTGGTGTACTCACAAGCAATGGGCAGGTCTGCAGTGGTGCACTCACAAGCAATGGGCAGGTCTGCAGTGGTGCACTCACAAGCAATGGGCAGGTCTGCAGTGGGGTACTCAGACAGCAATGGGCAGGTCTGCAGTGGTGCACTCACAAGCAATGGGCAGGTCTGCAGTGGTGTACTCACAAGCAATGGGCAGGTCTGCAGTGGTGCACCCAGAAGCAATGGGCAGGTCTGCAGTGGTGTACTCACAAGCAATGGGCAGGTCTGCAGTGGTGCACCCAGAAGCAATGGGCAGGTCTGCAGTGGTGTACTCAGACAGCAATGGGCAGGTCTGCAGTGGTGCACTCAGACAGCAATGGGCAGGTCTGCAGTGGTGCACTCACAAGCAATGGGCAGGTCTGCAGTGGTGCACCCAGAAGCAATGGGCAGGTCTGCAGTGGTGCACTCACAAGCAATGGGCAGGTCTGCAGTGGTGCACTCACAAGCAATGGGCAGGTCTGCAGTGGTGCACCCAGAAGCAATGGGCAGGTCTGCAGTGGTGCACTCAGACAGCAATGGGCAGGTCTGCAGTGGTGCACTCACAAGCAATGGGCAGGTCTGCAGTGGTGCACTCACAAGCAATGGGCAGGTCTGCAGTGGTGTACTCACAAGCAATGGGCAGGTCTGCAGTGGTGCACCCAGAAGCAATGGGCAGGTCTGCAGTGGTGTACTCAGACAGCAATGGGCAGGTCTGCAGTGGTGCACTCACATAGCCTCCCCCAGATGCCTCCACAGAATTCGTGTAGCCTCACAGGCTGTGGTGGCTTTTTTTTTTTTGGGGGGGGGTCCAGTCATGGGGCCTGAACTCTGGGCCTGGGTGCTGTCCCTCAGCTCTTCAGCTCAACGCTAGCGCTCTACACTTGAGCCACAGCACCACTTCCAGATTTTTCTGCTTATGTGGTGCTGAGGAATTGAACCCAGGGCCTCAGGCATGCAAGGCAAGCGCTCTACCACTGAGCCACCTTCCCAGCCCTTCTTTTTTTTTTTTTTTGCCAGTCCTGGAGCTTGAACTCAGGAACTGGGCACTGTCCCTGAGCCTCTCTGTGCTCAAGGTTAGAACTGTACTGCTTGAACCACAGTGCCACTTCTGACCTTTTCTGTTTATGTGATACTGAGAAATCACACCCAGGGCTTCATGCATCTAGGCAAGCAGTCTACCACTAAGCCACATTCCCAGCCCCTGTGGTGGCTTCTTAACAACCACAGAGAAAACTAGGAAGTTAGCAATCGAAGTGAGTCCACTGTCGCTCCTTTGATGGACACTGATCATTTTTAGACGCGTGTCCTACCTCACTGCCCAACTTTCTGTGCTTACAGCCGCAAGCTCTATATACTGCATAAGTATAGATATTACGTTTAGTAATTACTCTTTCAATGTCTTTCTTAGAAATGACCCAGATATTCAATGACTATTACTTAAGTTAACTTCAATATTGGAAACTTTGTAAGTAGGCCTCTTACAAAAGAAAACTGCTGAAGAGTTCATTTATAAAGTTTTATCACTAAAATTCATCTTATTTGCTCATTCTTGGCGGTTACTGCTGAACTCATGCGGATAAGAAGTCTCATAGACTTAGCCAGCCAGCACCCTAGGTAATTCTTGTTACAAGTGAAGCAAATATCAGAAATAGCATAGAAGAAAGGAACTACAAAGAGGGTCCAGGCATAACAGTGCACACCTGCAATCCAGCACTTAGGAGGCATGAGGACCGAAGTTTGAGGTTAGCCTGGGTTATATAGCAAGACACGGGTACTGGGCTTGGAATCAGAGACTTATGCTTATTGGATGGCTTGCTCATGGCTGCTGTTCTACCACTTGGGCCATGCCTCCAGTCTGGCATTTTGACACCTTTCTGCCAGGATTGGCGTTGAACACAGCCCTTGAGTAGCTTAGATTATAGGCTGAGCCGCGGGTGCCCAACTTCTCTCCTTTCTTCCCTCCTCTCCATCTCTCTTCCTGTCCATTCTGCTTTTGGATTGGATTTCTAGTTTTATCATCCAGTAAAATTAACTTAAGCCTGTTTGACTAAGCCAAGTTGGAAGAAGCTATATCTGCATCACTTTCAATGCTGATGTTTCCAGAAACTTCCTCGTTTCTGTTCTGCCAGCACCTAAAACTAGTTTTGCTTACCAAAAATGGTTCTAAATTGTGAACGTTAAATAAAAAGTGCTCTATATACATAAAATACTTCATATACATAAAACAAACCTCCATGACACAGAGACAACATAGAATGTGCTAGTCCGGAGTAACATAGGCTTATATCCACTTGCATTTTTGCCCAAATTGTATTTCTGGCAAGAAAAAAAAAAAGGTTCCATTTACTCAGGTGGCTAAAAGTGGTACTAATGTTTGTACAAAAGACCTTTTCACCTGTTCAGTTTTCGAATAGTTATTTCTGGTGGTATTGGGTTTTCTAACTTAGGGCTTTTCCTCCGCAGGCCAGTGCTCTACCCTGTGAGCCCGCTCCCGTCCACAAACAGGAGTTTGCCCTTCTTTCCTTTTTTTTTTTTTTTTTCCCAGTCCTAGGGTTTGAACCTAGGGCCTGGGCACTGTTCCTGAACTTTTGTTTTTTTGGGGGGGGGTCCGGTCATGGGGCCTGAACTCTGGGCCTGGGCGCTGTCCCTCAGCTCTTCAGCTCAAGGCTAGTGCTCTACCACTTGAGCCATGGCACCACTTCTGGCTTTTTTCTTTCTGCTTATGTGGTGCTGAGGAATGGAACCCAGGGCCTCATGCATGCTAGGCAAGCGCTCTACCACTGAGCCACCTTCCCAGCCCCTGTTCCTGAACTTTTCTGAACAAGGCTAGCACTCGACCACTTTGAGCCACAGCGCCACTTTTGTTTTTCTGGTGATTAATTGGAGATATGGGTTTTATGGACTTTCCTGCCCAGGCTGGCTTTGAACTGCCAGATCTCAGCCTCCTACATAGCTAGGACTACAGGCGTGAGCTACCAGTGCCCGGCTGGATCCCTGAAATTTCTATTTCAAAGATGATTCTGTTGCAGGAGAGCACAGGACACTATCTCTGGCGCAGAGTGCACGCTCGGCGGGCTTGGAGGCATCTGCCTCCCGTCAGGGGTCCTGAGATTGCATCAGCTCGTTCCAGTAAGCCAGCAAGAAGTTGCCCCTCCAGAGCGCGAGGGCCCCGTGGGGGTGGGAGTGGGGGCCCTGCTGGGCCGCAGCTGTGGCAGGCAGGGGCAGGAGCCACCCGGGGCCAGACCCCAAGGGGCAGGGGAGACGGGCAGAGCGTGTGACCAGCAGGCTTTCAGAAGGGGTGGGGGCTGCTGGCTAAGTCCATGCCGGGGTTGGGGGAGGGTGCTTAGAACACATCTTCCATTTGAACATGAGCTTCTAGTAAGTCCGCTTTTGACCAGCAAGCTCTAAAAATCCTCAAGTGCCCCATTATCAACAGGACAGGGGTGAGCCCACAGCATGAGCTCCTTTAAACCTAAAGATGACTGTCCAGTGGCAGAACCAGAGCCAGAGCCCTTATAACTG